CTGTCTTTTTTTATCTGTATTTTTTTCTTAGGCCTTTTATCTTATTTTTTTAGCTTCCTTTTTACTTCACAACTATTCCTTCCTTTTTGTCCTAATCTACTACGCCTTGTACCCTCGCTTTTACCTTTATTCTATTCCTTTGCTTTGTTTTTTATTTCCAAACCTTTACTTTATTTTAGTTTTAAACCTTCATTTAACTTTCATTTCATTTTCATTTTACTTTTATTTGATACATTTTTCACTCCATTTCGCTTTATTCATTTTTCTTTTATTTTTCCTTCAATTATTCTTCAATTCTTTCTCCTGATTTTTTTTTATGCTTTATGTTATATTCATTATTTCAATTTTTTATCTTGAATGTTGATATTTTTTCTTCTTCTTTTTTCTAAAAATCACTTTTTATTGTACTTCAAACTTCATTTTAATTTTCTATTTCACTTTTACATTTTTATTTTTTCAAAACTTCACTTTACTCCTACTTTAATCCCTTTTTTAAAAGCATTTTTATTGTTTCACTTTTCAGTAACTTTGAATTCATTTATATTTGCTTACCTTCCCTACGCAATTTCAATTTTTATATACTTTTGGGTTACTTAGTTAATACATTTTGTTTGGGCACTGTCCCAAAGATATATGCAAAAATTACACTAAAAATTAGTTCCATACAATGGATTACTGATATTTGTTCAAGGTAATGACAAGAGTTACTGCTTCTGTATAGATCAACTTATTTGTTATAGTCCAATTTTTCGTTATCTGAAAACGGTTTAATACGGATAATGACTGATTCATAAAATCTTCATTCATTGGTAATAACTACTTTGAAACATTGACTGCAATTTTCAGACTATCGGCACTACTGTTCTCTTCAAGAACAACAAAAAAGAAGGAGAATAGAGAAAAATAAGAAAAACAAGAGCAAAACAGCCTGGAAGAAAAGCGAAAAAAGCGTAAAATTTGAGAGATTTGTATTCCAAATAAATTTTTTTTTTAATTTTGAGCCAATTAGCACAATGTAAAAGTGGATACATGTAATAAAACTGGCGACAAGGCTAAAAATAAAGCTATAATAACATGACGAAGAAAGCCGGAACCAATTGTTATACTTTCGTAGCATTTGTAGAACCTTGGATTAACACTTAATTTCTCTTAATTATTGACAAATTTGCTACAGTACAGATACAGTCGCTGCTTAATATCTCAGCATAGCTAATTTACCAATAGCTTAGATCGCAGAATTGTGCTGCTTGAGAGCCATTGTTGCCAGCATTATTAACAGATTATTTTGTAGTTGTAAAACACTGATACAGACATAGATTTCTGCATATCACAGCATAGTGTTCCAGAGAAAAAAAAAAAAAGTGAGGTAAAAATCCAGGAAATATTTCATCATTTCCCTGCCCTTCTGTTAAACGTTAAATCCAATTACGGTTTGAAATAAATTAAGTGGGAAAATTACGATCAACTTCAGTTTTCAAAATGAAACAAAAGCATTGCTTTTTTTTTTGCTTGTTTTCTGTCAACTATCCAAAAAAGTGATTGATTAACTGAAGTTTTTTCACGTTCCAGCCTTCAGCGATTTACAGAGCCAAAAACATATTTTCACTTGAAGTGGAGAAAAAAGAAAAAGTAGACTTAAAATCACAAAACTAATATTAGATCATGATTACAAAAATTACTAGTTAAAAATGATTTGCCCTGCCGTGCATTTTCAGCCATCACACTGAGAATTAAAATTCTTTATAATTTGTAGACTAGAAATAAGTAATCATTTCTAACTCATAAAGTAGATGACATTTACAAGTGGCTTGAAAACTTAGTTTCCTTCGCCTTTTTTCTCCAGTTCCTTCTCCACGGAACGTTTTAGACTTCTGGCTTCTTTTTTTTAAGTGCTTTCAAAGAGTCGCCACAATAAGGTAAATCGTTACTCCATTATAATTTTTCGATTCTAGCTGTATATCACTTCTTAATTTAGCCTTACCTTTGTACTAGAAATTGAGAAGTCGCATGCATTTTGTCGACAGATCTCCCACAAACTTTTGTAAATACGTTTACCACGGCTTTCAGAAAGAATCTGCAAGAACGGCTGCCAGTGGAACAAGTGCTGACTAGTTGAGAGAAAAAAAAAACTGGGAGATGAAACAAATGCGTGTCATATAATCGGAGTCAAATTTTGCCTTGAAGAAACTTTAGAATTTCTGCCTTTGACCTTTTACACCGCTAAATAAACGGAAAACAAATTACTTCCGAATGCTCACTTGGTATATAAAATCAGAAATAATAATAATACAAGTTTCCGAGAAAAAATATCTTGTTGTATCTTCAAGAAAAAAACGGTTTTAGAATATAATAACAAGAACTTCTCTTGAGTCGCAAATGCTTCAGGTTCAAAGTACATGATATCAAACAGGAATATCACCAATATGGTCACGAAAATTAAGAAATTCAAGTTCGCATTCGCACCCAAGGCCTCAAAACAGCAAGCTAACATGATTGATAAGACCGACACCACCTTAATAAAAAAGAAGAGCTACAGCAGTGTTTGTGAAGCACCTACTGTTGATGTCCAGTTCTTCAGCCATTTCATTATACTGTGATAAGAAACTTCTTCTGTCTATGCTAGAAACTTGTTTCAGTCCCAGTCGTAACGAAAAGCCCAATATGCAAATTCATCTTTGATGCATATGAAAAGCACTAGTGATTTTTAATAAAGTTCATCTAACAAATTGTTATTGCTTGTTATTTACTGTAATTCCTGTACCACATTAATAACTTTGCGAGTATCTAGACCCTGTGTCACTAACATCCGTTCGACGTACCACCGCTATTGCTTTATTCACAATTCACTCGTAATTTCGGAAGCTTCAAAATACAAATGTTCCCAGTCGAAGATATGTCAACTGGGTTGGTCATATTGCATTAGAACATTGCGCCGTTCCTAACTGACCAAAATAAATCAGAAAAAAAGTAGTTCCCAACAAATTTTGCGAATAAAGTAGATCGTAAACCTCCAAGCAAAAATTCGGTCTGTTTAGGGAGTTTCTGATACTGGAGGCAAAGCACATTGCATTTGAAGATAGGGTTTCAATTTGTGGCTTTACAAAATTTTCTAAAGGAACTTTCGATCTCTTTTTCTTCAATACATTAAGAATTAAATATCTACTTGATCAGATTCCTAAAATTTTTAACGTTGCGACATGGTGAGGGGTGTTCTTAGAACTCATTTCAACCGCAAGTATCATAATTGTTGCACTGCATCCGTTCTACGAGTGTCTGAAAAAAAATCAGTAAAAGGTGCTTTCTAACAGCCTCCTTTCACAACAACATTGAACTTCTAACTTAGTATAAATAGTTATTAAAAAGTTGCTAATTCTCCATTAATAATAATTAAGTGAACGAATTATACAGTTTCTAGGCATAAAAACTTAAATTTTTAGCAAGCCTGTGGCTTGGTGGTAGGAACAGAAAGAGGAGTGATTGGTACTATCGGAGGTTCCTCGGAACAATCTTTACACTACAGAACTTTTTTAATGAAGGCCTCTTAAACGCCAATATCTACTTGTAGCTCCATTGCCCAAGAAGACTTGTCAAAATAGGAATTAACGGCCAGAATATCATTCTGAGCGACTTACACTTGTTGAGCTTAAAAATTCGTTAAAAAATTTCTTAAGGACAGAGTCAATATCAACAAACGCTTTTCAGAAACAACATTGTTTTTGATCCTTTCAGTGAATTAAAGATGTAATCAAATTTGCAAATGATACAAGCAACATATACATATATAGATATACAAAACATATTCTTGCCTTAATTGAGAGAACTATTATTTTTCGAACCTAATTCAACAGCACCCTCAACGGCCTTCACCACCACCGATTAAAATACTGTTACGCATATGCAACACGAAATACGCAACCATACTTTGAAATTCCAGAAGTTTTGGTTCTTATACAAAATCTCTTTTTCAAGCTCAACTTTTTGAAGAAACCACTGACAAGCGCTGAATGTACAAAGAACTGGAAGTTTTGTAATATTTATACCGTATCCCTTCTACAAGTGTCTACAGAAAACATTGGTAGAAGATGCTTCCTGATTATCTTTTGTAAACGTGATATGATGACTTGGATGTAATATGCGTAAAGTTGTCTTCTGAAAAACAATCACTATTCATCTAAACATCTTTCTGAACAAAACTGCCAATATGAAAGAAAAAACAGAAGATGCAACAATAAATTCAACTTTAATCAAAACTGTTTTTCCATTAATAGCACTGTTTGCTGAGTGGACTTTGCAAAATGCATCTTACGTGGAGGAATGATTGCAACAGCGAAAATTTTGTAATAATATAATAACATTAGAATTACACTTTGATAAATAACTGACTAGATTTCAGCTTAACATAAAAGCTAGAACACGTAAACTTTGAATAACTCTTTTTTTAACGCTTCAAAATAAAATCTGGGATAACTAAGCTTCTCAATACTAATGACTCAACTTTTTTTAACAAAACTATTATTAATTTCAACGGTTAGACCCAAAACAACATCAGTAACTATTAATATACATCAAAATAATAACATCAGAAACTAATAACATAAATGTTCTGCAAAAAACATGAGAGGCCTTAGCTTGGCAACAAAAAAATTATATTTAAATCTCTACTAAGCTCTATGTAACCCATGCTATGGACCTGTGTTATAGAAATTTTTGACTTAGCCTAAAAGTATCTGAAAAAAAAATTCATAACGTAGACGGAGTCTCATCGTTATTGAGCCACATTAAAGGATCTGTTGTTACCGCAGTGTCCACCTCTTCATCCTCATTTACGCCTTAAAAAAAAAAAAAAACAAGTAAAAAACGCTAAAAAATAGAATTTTGCAAAAACTTCAAAAAAAATAGCAAGAAAAGAAAGAAAAATAAATGGTAAGACAGGATATACAAACCAAAAACCTTTGTTTTTTGCCGGAAAACACTTATCCGTCATTGCCCGTATTTGATCAGTGTGCTGAGAACGATAGTCCTCAATACCGGAGTCATCACCGTTATGGACTGCTTTCACATGTTTTATGATGTCGGATTTTGTAACTGTGCTCCAAGTTTTGTTACACTGCCGACAGTGGAAGAGAGGGAGTTTCAGGTGCCTGTGAAGTCGTATCTCATATTATTCTGTACTTTTTTATAAATCTTTTTAATCCTTAAGAAGCGAAAAAGAGAAAAAATGATCAAAGAAAGTTGTGCAGAGTGAAAAATTTTCAAGGCGAGAAGAATCACACAAAAAAACCAGCATTATCGTCTTCTAATCCTTACTTTGAATTTGCGTGATAAACAAGTGACGACCGTTGCCCAGTTACTTGCAGCCCACAGATAGTACACGTTCTGGGGGGTCTTCGACGAGTTTTATTAGTTTGGTGAGATAAACTTTCTTGAGCCAAAAAAGTATGCGAGAGATCCCCCAAAGAATCGAAATTCTTTAACCCAAAGTCAAAAAATGATCCTGAGCTATTTGGGAATAACTCGCCAACTGACGCTAAAAGAAAGCTCTCATTCCTTAAGGGCAGATAAACTGGCTGCAGCCAACTGTTATAACTCTTTCATGAGGTTCACAAATCCAAAAAACGTAAAGGTTCTTCGCTACGATAAGATGTTCAAAAACCAAACTTTCAATTGAAATAAGCACATGTCACTTTGAAGCTTCAAACTACGAAACTAAAATGAGTGATATCTAACAAAAAATGAACTAGTTTCAAAAAAGTTTTTCCTAAACTGAAGATTTGAAAAAAATACAATTACACTTACTTATGACGGGGTAATTGTTACTAGCAAGTGTTATCTCGCCGCTTGCGGCAACGACTACATGCTGGCCTTCACTTCTTTCAATTACATCAGCATCATTCTCGCAAGCGCCATCCTATAAATACATCGAGGATCAATCAACTTTGATGAAAAAAAAACTACATTTTCCACGTGACTTAACGAATGAGACGAGTAAAATGATAAAGAATGTACCTTATCAAACTCGCTTTTTGTGGGTTTGTCCAATTCATTATTAGTTTGATTTTCTTCCGATTCTAGAGAACTACAAGGAGATAAAGCTGACGTTGAACTGTGAACTACTTCAACAGCGCAAGGCCTGTAAAGGTATCGAACAGTGCAGTCCCTAATTTTATTAACGACTTCTTAGTCAATTTTGTTATTTCAACTTAGTGACAATTCATTCATTCATTCATTCAAAAAAAAAAAAGGAAACAGGCAGGTAGTTTTTAAAGGAGCTCTACAAAACGACAAATTAATAACTGATAATAGGAAAACCTTACACAAAGAAGCGAATATGATGACTAACAAAAGCTTTTGAAAACTTTCTTTATGCAGTTGAACTACTAAAACACATATTCCTGACGAACAAAAAAATTATAAACTGATGAACGAAATATAGGAAATATAGTCTGACCTCTTCCGTTTCGTTGGGCGACTAGTATCGTTACCTCCAGAAATTAAGAGTGACTTTTGTAACAACTCTTTGACTAGAGCACGTTTCTTTTCCGTTTCCGGAGTGACTTTATACCGCACCTAAAATTTAAGTTTGAGAAAGATGTAAAAAGATGCAAATTCCAATGAATAGGTTACAAGTTATGTGCAGTTTTAAGATTATATAACTGCCTGAAGTAAAAAAATGGAAAATCTTGCTCTTTCAAAAGAATACCTACATAAAATTCCTTGAGACCATGATCATTCATACAATGGCTCACTAAAGCGAATTCCGTTGGAAATTTCGAGAACCTACACTTTTCACACTCATAAGGGACGTAGTTTACATGATCTGCAGCTATATGAACCTCTAATTCCTCGACTGTAATGAAGGGAGTTGCGCTTATAGGACATGCCGAACAGCGCAACATCTGCTACACCTAAATTTCATAGAAATTAACCAATTTCCAACTTCAAAAAAGGCTCATTTGTAAACGTATAACTCAAAAAGTTAAAACTTAATGCAGGTCCATACCCTCTAGTAACAAAAATACTTTTTTCATTCTCCCAAACACAACTATATCTGAAAAAGCTTTAAACAGTTAGTTAAGCGCATGTGAATAAAGCGACCCAAAAACAAAGTTAATGTTTGTTTTTTGTAAAAATATAACATCTAAAATTTTGAATTTTTTCTAGATTTTGGAAAGACTTTTACGGTCAAGTCGAAACAAGTGCAAACTTTGATTTCAAAAAATCAAAAAATTTCTTTTTCACTCTAAAAACTTTTTTTAGGAAATACAAACCTCTGTAGTGGAAGAATTTTGACCAAAAAACCTGTCGAAACTGTATCCCTAGAAAATCCGTCGTCTACAATTCTCTCATAGTTTGATTTACTCTACAAAAAAGTATATATGTAATTAATAAGTAAACAGTTATGTAAAAGTGCTTGTATGTCAACTGTCAATGTCATAACCCGATAACTGTAAACAGTGATAAAACAAAATTAAACGGGTTAAAAACTTTCTGCACAGAAATTATGAAGTGCCGGATTCCTTAAAACCAGAAATTGTTAACCTCAGAATTTTTGACAGAGAGAACCTCGAGGTTTCTAAAAAACAACAACATCTAGCAAACGATATTCCAATAGTAACACCTCGTACCCAGATCCCTACACCTATACAGTCACTTAAACTTGTCTCAGTTAACTGGAGGTATGAATCACAACAACATCGACTTCATAAAGCACGGCAAATTTTTTCCTCTATCTCAAGGCTTCATTTCTTATTCGATCGTAGTCAACATTTTGAAAATGTCTGTAAAATTTCGGCAAATTGCCAAACTTTCTTTTACATTCAAATGCAAAAAAAGTCATAAATTCCAGCATTAAATTTTTTGAAATTGAAAACCAGAAAACGAAGTTTACTTATAAATATCAAACGAACTGTAGAAGAAACTGCAGTTAAACACTGGTGAATTACTTGAGTGATACCAAAATTGAATGTTTGTTTCCTTATGCATTCTATTTAAATCACTCTTCAATCTTAAAACTAATCATCATCATGGTTTTGATACCGAATGTATATTAATTTAAAATTGGCAAAGAAGAACAAATAGATAAGCAAAGAAACGTAGGAATTTGGCTAGGTGGAGAGATGGTTGAAAAAAAAAAAAGTGAAGGAAAAACTTTTCTACATATATAAATTTTTCATTTATTAACAGAAACCATGCCAAAAAAATTGGAAAACCAAGCAGCTGTGATAATTTACGATGTGAATTTTTGCATTCATAAATACAGTATCAAGCTGTAGAAAAAATCATGTAACTTATCATAAATATCTTCAGTAGCAAAAAAACTCTCCTCACTGGTCATAACAGAGAATAAAACATTCAAAAACAAAAAAATTTTATCTTTCCAAAAAGCATTCCGAGATTACAACTTTATCATCTTTCTTCTTTTCTATTGGAACTTAAAACTGGCCAAAACTGTGACGAAATTATATATATATATATATATATATATATATATATATATTACGTATATATATATATATATATATATATATATATATATATATTGGGAGGTAGACACTAAACTACTCTAAGAAGTGGGAAAAAAACGAAACAAAAAAAAGAAGAAAAATGAGAAAAATGAAAGAGGAAAGAAACGAAAAGCTGTTAAGGGTAGCAATTGTTAGTTGTTGAGAGAAATCAAGTGTGCTGTTGATATAAAAAGAATTCTTCTGCAGACAGTCATCATCACACAAATATTATTAGTATCAGTTGATCCATTTAGTTAATTTCCAATGAAGAATAAAAAGAAAAAAAAAAAGTGAAAAGAAAAAGGCGACGAGAACTTAAAGAATGTAGGGGGGGAAAAAGGTTCATTAAGGAAAGAAAACAATGAAAAGGTTTGGACAGGAACTATTGATGATCAGCTGGAGACATATTCGGCGGGTGCTGTGGATTGCCACAGCTGCTCTGTCGGTCGATGTTCCCTTTGCTGTCGTTGTTATGGTTGTTGTTGCTGCTGCTCTTGCTGTTAGACGGTTGCCTGCTTGTGCCGTTGCTGCAGGTATTGCTGCTGTTCCTGGCGCTGCATGCCCCTATCCTCAGTTCACTGTCGGCCGACAACATTGCTACCACCGTTCCTGACCCGTCCTGTGCTATTGCTGTTACTGGTTTGCTATTGTCTGTGTTGATGATGCTGGTTGATGATGGTGCTGACGATGATGATGATGATGGTGATGATAATGATGATGTTGTTGATGATGATGGTGATGATGATGGTGTTGAAGATGAGTGTTTCTGCGCTAATAATACAACAATTTTTTTTTTTTTTTTTTTGATATTACTCATTACATATTAGTGATACTATAATAGCAAAATAGTAAAGAAAAAAATTATTTCTTTGTCTTACTGATGCTGACATTATCAACCAAAATTGCACGTCCAAAATTGTTATACTGCTATAAAACAACAACAGCAACAGCAGTAGCAATAAAAACAATAACAACAGCCACAAAACAGAGGGGAAGGAAAAAAAAAGGAAAGAAAAAATTTTTTGGAATTAGAAAGGTGGTAGTGTAGTAATAGTCAGATGGCGGTAGTGATGATGGTGGATAGGAAAAAAGGGAGCAGCAAAAAGGACCTTAAAATCGATCGAGAGGAAATTTTGTTTGTGAAGGAAGAAAAAAGACAGAATTTTTTTTTAATGTGATTTATGCAGAGAAATAGAGAAAACATTTTTGAGAAAAGTGGATGAAATCCTGTACGGGGGAAGAGGGGGAAATGGGGGGGAAGGGGAGTAAGTGAATAGCGTAGGGGAGAGACATAGCAACAAGACATTACTACGCGCTTTACAGCAACCCCTTTTCCCTGCCCCCGCCACCCCCCTTTTCCCCTTCTCTTGCCTTTCCACTTCCTCCCCCTCCTTGGCCTCCTCCTCTCTCCTCAGCTGCACAACCTTGTTGCGGTCCTCTAGACGTTTGTTGTGCAGTAGTAGTGGTTTCGACAATTTGTTCTTTCTTTCCTTCTCAGATCGACCGACCCTAACGTATGCCTGCCTTTTCGGCTGGCAATAAACATGTCACTCATCGGCTGCCCCTCAGTTGCTTCGCTCAATGGAGGAGGTGGAAGAGGAACGGAAGGAAGGACAACATAGAGGAGGCGAAAACCAGTCGGTTGCTGGGGTGAAAGCCAACTAGCGCGGTGGGTCTTCTGCCTTGAGAGGCAGCATGCGATGTTCGAAATATCACTTAGCGATGATACCAATAAATTAATTGTTGGCTGATGATATCATTAATATTGGTAGTACTACTTATATTGTTTTTGCTATAATTATTATTTTCTCACTTTTATCGGCTTATAACTCTTCAATGAAGTGATCGTGATTGGTGAAGGAGTTTCTGAAAGTGGGGAGAAGAGCAAAAAACAGAAATAAGACAAAGTTAAATTGATAGAGAAAAAATGTGTATATAAGAAGAGAAAAACAAAATTTTTAAACCATAGACGTCCAATAATTTAGATGTCTTTATTCTTTTCCTTTATTTAATCATTTTTTCCTCCCCTTCTTTCTCTACTTCTTATTTTCGTTTTTTTTTTTCGTTCTCATTGCTTCAGAATGCAATTTTTGCGTAAGATGACGGGTATTAAAAGCATAAGCAGTAAATAGAATTAAGGATTATGTTGTTGTGGATTTTTGCACAAATAATTATGTATATTAACAACTGTAAAAACAGCAGGAACTATGAAAATAGCAACAAAAAACCAAAACAGCAATGGTGACATTTTGAATGCGGCATTAATTAAAGTGTCATATTAAAAAATTTAGCTTTTTTTTTTCTTATCGCCTTTTGAATATGTTTATTCATTTGCTTCTTTTGCTCCCTAAAACCGTCTGAAAAGCACTCGGTGTTTTGCTATAACATTTAGACTTGCTTTTAAAGATTGACACCTAGCAGAAGGCAAAAGCTACAGTTTTCTGCAACAGCAACGGCAGCAGTAATATTGGTTGGTCGTAAAAACGAGTGATTAACAATTGTAGCACCCATTGATTCATAGTGATATAATAATAATGATAGTAGTATCAGTAGTAATAATATAATAATAATAATATTATTATTATAATAAAATAATAATAATAATAATAATAATAATAATTATTATTATTATTATTATAATCATTATTATTACTATTACTATTATTATTATTATTATTATTATTATTATTATTTTATTTTTATTTTTATTTTTATTTTTATTTTTATTCTTATCACTAATATAATCAAAATCAGTTTAATAACCGTACAGATCTCCCAAAGACGGTAATGTTGTTCTATTAAAACGTATAAACTATTTCCTGTAATTTCTTTTTTATTTTGAACGTGATAATATTATTTCACTGAATTACCGAAAGGAAAAGCTTGATAATATTTGGAAAAAATGACAAAACTGAGAAATATAAGCATCCAGTTAACTACAAATGCAGCGTTTTATTAAAGTAAAAAATTTTTAACACGTGAACAAAACCTACCTTATTGTAAGACGGTGGTAAAGTATTGACAAATTCAATTCCTGTTGCTGCAGTTTGGGATGCCTTTCGATCAAAGACTGTGTATTACATTCGATACTGGTACGACAGGTCAGCGAGAAAAAAAGTAGCACCGATAAACATATTTCATCTGTCGGTATCCATCTGTCGATGTCAACAAATCTTCAACGACCATCTTCAGTACTGATAGCTATATTCAATTGGAGGAAATACAAAAACCTAATGCCCGTCAGACTACCCAGTTTTCTAAACTGACAGAGAAACTTTTGTTGTAGACTGATTGTCTAAAGCTATTCTGTAAAAGGAAAGAAAAAGTGTTTGAGTTGTTATCCCACCAGTTAAATTGATTTAAAATTGCATCACGAACATTAAACAGTGATG